GCCTTAGCTATGGATAGTTTTTTTTTCAAGTCTGGTCGGCTGAAAGATATGACCGCAAACTTTTTACCTGGGCAGACCTCCATCTCTCGACTCGCTATGCAAATAATATGGTTTTGTCTATAACACAAAGAGTCAATTTTCCCAGTATGGTTCTTAAATTTAAATCAATCATTACATTTTTCTCTATGAAATTTACTATTCATATATTCACATATGTAACTATCAGTCACAATTTTACTATTTTCCTATATCACAATTTAATAGTACTCTTTATCAGATCACCTTACATTAATAAAATAATTGATTTTCCCCATTAGTTCTTTTTATATAAAAAAGTTTCTCATATAAAAATATATCCGTTGCACCCTTAATTACTCTCTCTCTCTCCCTCTCTCTCTCCCTCTCTCTTCCTCTCTCTCCTCATTGCTTTCTATTTCCTTTCATTTTCACAATAACAATAGATAACTAATAAGTAGATGATCTTGCTTTGTTTCTGTCTCTTTTACGAGTTCTTTTGAAAATGACATCATTAAAGAAGTTAATGAGTGATATGGTAGGTTAATTAAATAACATCCAATAATTTATGCAGGTGATTGTAAATAATTGCCGACTGATCATTCTAAGAGGATTACACAATCTGCATCGACTAACACATTTAAAATGTTGCAGAATTCTTCATGCTATCCTATTAGCTTTCAATGCTGTAGCTGGTACATGTCTTTCGGCAGTTTCTGGTGGTATTAAGTCACCTTTTGTCAAGGAAGAAAATGCAAGTGCTCTTCTATTAGTGGCAAGTCAGGTGACATATCCGTTCTTGCTCCTTTGCGAATAAAAAATTGAACACTTCAGTATTTTTCCAATTGAAGTAAAAATGCATTTTCTGAAATTGGTGGTGTTAGATACAAATAATATTTTGCTATGGTTTAGTAAGGAGATGTGATTTGCGTTGTTATATTGCATGTATTTTTCGTAGAAAACCTTGCCTGTGATGGTAGCAGTGGTCGAGCAGCTTGGTGGTGCTTTAGGTGAATCTGGATTACTCATCCTTCCATGTGTTGCTGCTCATTTGAACCAGGTAAAAACTACTCTTTTTGCTCTCTCTCCCTCTCTCTCTCTCTCTCTCTCTCTCTCTCTCTCTCTGCTTAATTTGGCCTCAAATGGATGACTATTTTGTAGATTATCATCGACTCATTTCTAGTGAGCATCTGGAAACAAAAGTCGGGTGAATTTGAAAACGCTAAGGTTGCGTAGAACTTGTATTTGGAGACATCGCTTGAAACATTTTTGAAAAGGAGTGTACTCATGCTCATGCTAAGCGTTAAACGAAAAAAAGGGTGCACGGGTAATGACAATTGTTGCTTTGACACACCCTTTTGAGAGCCATTGTCCAAGTACTATGCTGCAACTGCTATATGGTTTGATGTAATGTAAACTACAAATTTCTTTGAAATTTGAGGGTCCCATTAGGACTGATGAGATTATTATTGGCTTCTTTTCATGGAGTGCAATGTAGTGTAACATGAATTGTGAATCTACATCCGTCGTATTTTCAAGACGCAATCCATCGTGCAAAGAGAAGACAGATAATTCATTATTGTATGAACAACTCTCCTAATAACTCAGTTTGTGTGTCTCTTCCATTGTGCTTGTATTTAACAATAATATAAAGTTTAAAATGAGTTGGATAAAATGAAATTTCAGAGTTTCCAGTACAAACTAGTATCCAATATTGATAACAGAGTTATAATATTTCTAAAAAAAAAACGGGTGCCATATACATGCATCAATGGTACTATGTAACATAATATAAATGGTTAGTAGACATGAAGAACAAATAATTAATTAATTTACTGGCAACATCATTGTTTTAGGGTGAATGTAAGAACAATATTCACAATTGATTCCTAAAAAAAAACCAGAATTAAGAGAAAAATGATAAAAGGAACATTCAAAATTCGACTCCTCAATAAATTCACATAAACCGAGCACTTGTTTTGTCAAAAAAGGGTGAGTTCGGAGTTCGCCAGGAAAAAAAAGGGGTTTGAAGTTCGTCGAAAAGGACCTCCGTCGTTCGTCGAAGTTCTTCACGATCAATTTTTGTCGAATTTTTTCACGCCAGACGTTCACTGGATCGTTGCTGCTACATCAAATTTTTTTTTTTTAAAAAAAAAAAAGGAAAAGAAAAAGTCAACAGGGAAAGGGGAAGGGCAAGGAGGGCTGAGTAGAGAGAAAGAAAACTTAGATTATTATTATTATTATTATTATTATTATTATTATTATTATTTTAATGGATGAATAAAGAAAAATAATAACAATATGTAAAAGTAGGTAGTAAAAGGGTGGTTGGACATGTGAATGATTTTTTGTTTTTTTAATGTTATGAAGTTATGTGATAAATGCATTTTGACACTAGGAAATGGAAGAGAGGTTTGATTGTTATTTGTAATGTTTAGCGAGAAGATGAACTTGGTTGGGAAAAATAGGACTTCTGACTCCAAGTATACCTGACCCGAAAAAGAGTTTCCGTTATTGATGTAGCCTCTTGTCGATACTACTAGTCTTGCCGCTACCTACTAGAAAAATCCCATCAAGATAGATTGAATCGACTACCTATACTTAAACGAAAGGTTCGATGTAATTGAGGAAGGAGGAGTTCAAGAGAGGAAATGCACATGGGTCTCCTTGAAGAACAAATTCTAACAAAACGGCTGAAATCTCCGATCGCATTCCACGATTCGATATTTAGATTCGTTGGAAACTATGGGTTTTCCTCCCTCTGGACCTCTTACCTCACTAACCCCCATGTTGTATATTTGGAGTCAGTTGGATCAGAACCAGCAGCAGATCCTCAGTAGATCCTACTATTAGTTTATTAGTTTATGGTCTCTGCCTTTCTTTACTATGTTCCTATCTATCTATATATCTCGTGTACAAAATAATAAAAATGGGCTGGTTTAAGGACGGAAGCTCCCGGTCTGAACCCCGTCGCTCGTCTTATGGAGGCGTGTGTGCCAGGGGAATAGAGGGCAGTGGGGAGATAAGCTCTTTTGAGTTACAGTTTATGCATATTCCTATATTGCGGATCTACTGTTGGAAGCTCCTGTTTTCACTGTCTACTCTCTATATGGGCCCTCTATACAAGTTTTTAGGGATGACATCTAAGGCTGAGTCAGTTTGCAAAGGGGACACTAGTTTAAGGAGAGGAACGCTCAATACGCCCCATTCCCTTCCACAACCGGACTTGTTTATTTACCCTAGTTATCAAGCCTTCGCCAGTGGCTCATAATCTTCCACTTAGAATCTTGTATACGAGGCGATTCACATGCCAGACTTTCTCACGGATTCATATTATGATGTGATGTTATTACATGGCCCAAATAGTTGGTTATGTCAGGTTTCAGTTTCTAGATTTAATAAACTATGTCTTCTAGGCCTAGGTGGAGGCGACCTCCTTTTTATTATTTTTTTAAATGTCATTTTAGTTTTATCCACAATTAACTAATAAATGACGTTTTGGATTTTTTGTACATACTTTTTCATCTATATATATATATATAAAGAATTACCATTTACTAAAAGTAGTAGTAAAAATTTAGGAAACATTTAATGCATACTATTTTTGGAAATCTTTTAAATACATGCATTAATTGGTTATATTTACACGTTTTCAAATAAGGTCAAATAACATATGATCAAATAATTACTTAAATAAATTTATTAATATCTGCAGTATTTTTCATTGATATTTATTATAATAAATTACAAGATTGATTTTTGTTATTTATGTTGATAATATTTTTGGTCAAGATAAATATTATTTTATTAATATTGTCATACTTTCATTGATATTCATTATAATAAATTACAAGATTGATTTCTGTGATCCATGTTGATAATATTTTGGTCAAGATAATATTACACCATATTTTAAGTTCTAACCATAATAATAGGTTTAATTTTTACAAATATTCACTTTTTTATCCAAAAATATTTATGGAAAATCGTAACAGGTTAGGTAGAATTGTTTTTCCAAGTAATCAGACAAAATCAAGTTGGTGAATTAATCTTTGCAAATATATTTGTTTCTTAAGCTTTATTTTGTTAAATATAAAAAATAAATCGTTCTCCAAATTAATATAATTTACCATTTAAGATATAATGACCAGATACAATAAAAAGCTTTACTAATGGTACAAAATTAAAATTGAAATATTTTAACTATTGTTTAGAATTTATTTGTATATTATTGGCACCCATGATTATATTTTTCCATTTTATTATTTTGATTTATTTTATAATTAAATTCTTGTAAAATATATTTTCATTGCTGAGTACGCTAAATAAATCATAAATCCTTGTAATGCGAATTAGAAAAATCTTGATCATAGAGGGGATCAAGTTTTTGGGATTTTCTAAATCAAAGTTGTTTAATTAGTATACAAAATAAAATAAAAAAAAAACATGTGTATATTTTGTAAAATATTTATACACTATTTAATATTAAATTTATTTACATATTTTAAATTGATTACATAAATAAATAATACCAACGTGCGTTATATATTTTTCATTACATAAAATAAAAATAAAAAGAAGACGTACAACTTGTTGATGTCCAAAATCGGACGATCAACGGTCAATAAAAAATCGAATATCTTGTAG